CAGGAGAAGGACTGTGAAAAGAGAATTACCCCCGAGGCATTAGGGGTACTCTCAGGGGGAAACTTCTAATGAACAGCTGGGCCCAGGAACACACACACAACTTGGCATGGTCCCTGCCTCAAAAGAGCTCCCACGCTAGGGTGGGAATAGAGGTACCCAGTGATTAGAGCTTCGTGATGTCAAGGCAGTATCAGACACACAGAGGAGGGCACCCAGCCCTGGCGGGGACTCAGAAAGGCTTCCTGGAGGAGGCTGTTTCTCGTTGAGAGAGGTCTCACATCCTAGGATTGCCAAATTTAGCAAATAAGCAGGATGCCCAGCTAGATTTGCATTTCAGAGAACCAGTACTTTTTTTTAGTATGTTTCAAATGTTGGATGGGATATGGTTATGCTGTAAAATTCCTCATTGTTTATCTGAAATTCAAATCTAGCTAGACATCCCTACCACCTTCCCTTCATCACTGTGACTTACGGATGAAGCGCTGGGGGAGGGGAGTGATGGGGGAGATTCAGAACTGGGGCCTGAACCCAGGTCTGCCAACTCTGATTCCAGACTGGAGTCCGACAGACTGAGCACCTCCCATTCCACCACATAGCCAGGTGGCATTAGGCTGGCTCAATCTGGGCCTCAGTTTGCCAATCTGTAAAATGGATGGGTGTGGTAGGTATTAAAGCCTCCCCTCTCTTGTGGTCTGGGGAGCAGAGGCAGCAGCCTCGCCTGGGTGGAAGGTTGTCAGAAATGCAGAGTTCCAGGCCCTGCCCTAGACCTGCAGAATAAGAATTTCCATTTTTAAGAAGGTCACTGTGATGACTCGGTGTACACAGCAGCTTGAGGGTGCTGTATGGAGACTGGTCCCACAGGGCGATGGTTGATTTGAGAGGCATGGGGAGGTGCCAGCACAGGGCTGGGCCACACCAGCATTTCACAGACACTCCGTATCAGCCCCACGGGAACCCCTGGAGGGGCCATTTCTACCCCCACTTATAGGTAAAAACTCAGAAAAGGCCAAGAAAATTGGTAGAAGGCCACACAGCCAGTAAGCGCCACTGTGGCCACAGTGCACCTGGCACGTTGAGCAGTGCATGGCAGGATGCTACCTGGCGGAGGCAGCTCTAGGGCTGCTTGTTTGAAAACCTCCTTGATGTGCCTTGTCATGGCCATGGACACCCTTGGTGCATTCTATGCCAATCATACGGCTTCTTGGCAGATCTGTGGGTGGACACGGTAGGTGAACAGACACTCTGGACATGTTGAGTTGTGAAGGCATTTCAAGAGGAATAAAGTAAATGATGTGCGGTTTGCCCAGCATGGTGCCTGGCACACAGCAGGTCTGTTCGGCTGAGATACCTTACCCTCTGCAATGAAGGACCGCTTCTTCCTTTACCCTTGTAAAAATGGCCGTGATAAATGCAAAATCAGCAATTCGCAGCCCCTTCTGCAAGGTTGGGGTCTTCTGTAGTTATCTTTCTGGGGTAAAGAGAATGGCACTTGGCAGGGGCACCTCCCATGCTGGGATATGACTTTATCACCATTGCCTCTTGGGGCCCCTGCCTCTGAAGACCAAAGTCCCACAAAAATGAATTCTCCAAAAGTGGAGTCATTCCGAAGGTGGGGGCAGAGAATCAACTAGGATGGAACGCACCTGAGCCTTTTATGCTCTGGGTCCAGAGGTCTCCCGGCACACACATCTGTCCTCCCATCCGCTATCACCTCGGCTACCTCTGCTATCTGATCAGAGTGCTTCTCACTTTAAAAAGAAACAAAACAAAAAAACCTGCCTTTTTGTATCCTTTGAATTTTTAACATGTGACTGTGTATTTTTAAAAATAAATCAGGGCCAGGTGTGGTGGCTCATGCCTGTAATCCTAGCACTCTGGGAGGCCGAGACAGGAGGATTGCTTGAGCTCAGGAGTTCGAGACCAGCCTGAGCAAGAGCGAGACCCTGTCTCTACTATAAATAGAAAGAAATTAGCCAAACAACAACAAAAAAACCCCAGAAAAATTAGCCAGGCAAGGTGGTATGTGCCTGTAGTCCCAGCTACTCAGGAGGCTGAGGCAGGAGGATTGCTTGAGCCCAGGAATTTGAGGTTGCTATGAGCTAGGCTGACGCCACGGCAATCTAGCTGGGGCAACAGAGCAAGACGCTATCTCAATCAATCAATAAATAAAAATAAATAAATCAGGCCAGGCGCAGTGGCTCAACGCCTGTAATCCTAGCACTCTGGGAGGCTGAGGTGGGCGGATCGTTTGAGTCTGAGCAACAGAGACTCTGCCTCAAAAAAACTAAATAAAAAATAAATTGATTTTTCAGCCCCTGTTGCATATTTTGGTGATGACTACTCTGGCCTGTGCAGGGATCCCTCTCACCCTGGAGAATTTGCACATGCTGTTCCCTCCCACCCTTCCTATCTCAGCCTTCCTTCCAACAGAGTAAGGACCCCTTATAACCCAGCAGCAGCCTGGACTGCCCCCAAGTGTGCACTGGCTTACCATCTATGTTCTTTGTCTCATGGACTGTACCTTGCCCACTTGACTCTAGACCCTAGCATACAGTCGACGCACAGCTCATGCAGGTGTAGGTGTGCCATTCTGGGGTAGAGATAACACTGCACTCTTCTGACCTTCCTGCTTAAGCCCTGGGCGTCACCAGCCTGGAGCTTTTCTGCTGTTTTGTGAAGCCCTAGGCTTCCAGACAGCACACACCCCACCTGCTTCTTCCCTTCCTGGCCCGTGTGGCCCCCAGTACTGCCTGGCTTTGGATAGCCCCAGGTTCGTGTCCATCATGCACACACCATCATCAGAAGCCTGTTCCAATCCTGGTTTGGACATGTACGAAGTTAAGGGCACAGGCTTTGGCCAGAGACTGAGTCTAAGAGATCAGCCCCAAGCACCTGTTTGTTCACATGTAAATGGACACATGGTACCTGCTCTCCAGGGCTATGTGGGCATCTAATAAGCTTTACACACTTCTCTCTGCAGACTCAGCATGTGGACATGGACCCTCCTCTTCAGTGCCCTGGCCAATTCAGGTTGGACCAAGTGTAGGGCCAGCTGTAGCTCAGGGGGAACACAGCATGGACAGGCCTCAGAGCACCCACGAGGGCATCTGCCCCTATGGTGGTGAAAGTGCCAGCAGTTATCAGCTTCTCTACTGGGGTAGACAGACTAGCCAACCTGTCTTGCACTGCCAGACAGTCCTGTCCAGCCCTCACCTGCTCTGTGACCTCACATTCACCAGGTAAATTCTAAGCCTCATCTCCCCCTACTTAGGACACAAAATAGCCTCCCCGGCCGGGCGCGGTGGCTCACGCCTGTAATCCTAGCTCTCTGGGAGGCCGAGGCAGGCGGATCGTTTGAGCTCAGGAGTTCGAAAGCAACCTGAGCAAGAGCGAGACCCCGTCTCTACTATAAATAGAAAGAAATTAATTGGCCAACTAATATATAGAGAAAAAATTAGCCGGGCATGGTGGCGCATGCCTGTAGTCCCAGCTACTCAGGAGGCTGAGGCAGAAGGATTGCTTGAACCGAGGAGTTTGAGGTTGCTGTGAGCCAGGCTGATGCCACGGCACTCACTCTAGCCTGGGCAACAAAGTGAGACTCTGTCTCAACAACAACAACAAAAAAAAATAGCCTACCCAAGGGTTGTCATGAGTTAGGAGGAAGGAATGTACACACTCAATAGCTGTCATGCCTTCACCTGAGCCCCTCTGCTCCTGGCCCAGACCCCACTGTCCCCAAGCAGGAGTAAAGCAGGGGACTGACTCCATCTCCCCATAAGGAAGTTATCTGGGAAACCCAATCTTCTCTCCAATCAGGGTGCTTCTGGAATGCAAGCTCTACTGGCAAGGTGTGCTTGAACATGGCAGGGTCAGAGAGACAAGACAGGTTGTGCGTCACTTCAGAGCATAGCTTGGCTGTAATATCTGCAACAGAGCACTCACTGTCCCCAGGGCCAGGCCTTAGCATTCCAAGAAGCAGGGTGGGACCAATCTGTGATTAAAGCCAGGCCTCAGCACTGCAAGAACTATCCACCTGTCTCCTTGTTTACAAGGCCACAATAGGGTCTGTGTGGTTGACAGCCTCTCCCAGCAGATGGTCACATAGCTGCTCTCTATCTGCAGCTCTGTTAACTACTTTTCCTTCTAAATACCCCCCAGCCACCACACACAGACTGCAGTACCACATCGCCCTGGCAGCTATAGTTCACACCTGCCCACTGATAATACCACCACCCCCAGACCCACCACACCCTAACTGTAACCAAAGGCCCAGCCTCTCATCTCTGTACAAAGTTTTGCTGAGATTCTATAGCTCGGTTTCTTCCTAATATACTCAAGCGCTTCCCTACTCTCTCCTAGCTCTCCCTCTCCCACCCCAACTCCTCATGCCTCAGCCTGGCCTTGTGATGCCTGCTAAGCAGGTGACCATGACACTGTGATAAGCAGGCACTCATCTAGGGCCCTAAGTCAGCAGAGAATCCCACCCCTCAGCCCTATAAGCAAAGAGAAACTGGGAGGCACAGTCTTTAAGCTGGGAAGTCAGCTGGAAAGCGCAGACCAGGGAATAGTGCATGTATGTATGCATGTCACACCACCACTTGTGCACTTAAGACACGTAGACAAAAGCTCATACACAAATGGGTTCCGGAAAGGACCAGCAGATAGCTGCCCTGGCTCCTCTGACTCTACAATGTGCACACATTGGGGAGGAGGGAGGCTCATGGCCAGGAAGACCCCTCTCCCAGGGGTGCCAGCTCATCTGTCTGCCTGATCCCAGGAGCCAGGGCAGCAAGAGGTGGACAGGAGGGCTCTGGCCAGCCACAGTCACATGCTGGATAAGAGCAGGCTTCTCTTCTCATGGCTGAGGGTCAGCTCCGCACAGCTGACCTCTGCTGGCCAAGCGAGTGCAGCAGCAGAAGCAGGCACTGCTGCCCTCAAAGTTTCCTGACTCCTGAGGTTTTAGGTCAGAATCCTTTCCCCTACATGCCAGAGGCACAAACTACGGCAGCTAGAACCTTTATTCTGTTCTTAAGGAGCAAGATGCCAGCCTGGCAGTGCCAAGGAGCTGGAGGGCCCAGCACTGCCTGTCCCAGAATTCAGTCTGTCCAAGCATTGCTTCCAGCACCAGAGCCGCGCCTGTCCATGTACACGGGGCGGGAAGTCCGCTCCACACTGTGCTCAGTCCTGGAGTGGCCCAGACAACCTCAAGAGGGCTTTGCTGCAGGTTTGAATTTCTTTCCTTTGTGCTTGAAGCTGCGCAGTGGGTTCTGGGCCTTCGTCTTCTATGGAGTCAAAGTCATAGGTTAGTTTGGGGGAATGAGACCAACTGATCAATCAACCATCCATCCACCCATCCGTCCACCCAAACTGAGACAGACACAAAGCGGGCCACATTGGCACTTGGCAAGGCCCCCGCAGGCCACAAGCCAACGAGACCAGAAATTTCTGCAGACATTGGGGGAGGAGGCGGAGGGCAGCAAGGGACAGAAAAGCAGGGCCTTTGGGTGGCAGCAGAAGTGTTCCCAGCCCAAATGATTTTGTCTCAGCCACTGGATTTTGGGGGCTCAGTTCTTGGATACCCTCTCTTTCTCTCCCTAGGGCAAGGCACCTACACACCGTGGTGATGACAAAGAAGCAAGGTGGGGGAGGAGTCCTGCAGCTGTCCTCAAGGCCCCCAGGTGCCATACCTTGGCCTTCTTACAGGAGGAAGATGGCTTTTTCCGCTTCTTGTGAGGGTGTACAAGGCCACGAAGAGCAGAAGGAACTGGAAGGGATGCTTGGACTCAGCAGCGGCCTCACCAATGCCACCCCACCCTGTCCATCCCACAAGCCTTTCTCAGTGCTGCCCATTCCCTCACCTTACCCCTCCCCTTGACTCTGGCCCAGGCTCTCCGATTCTGATCCATCTGACAGCTTGCGACATATTCAGTACCACATTTGCACAGGGCCAGAAGAATGGGAGTTCATTAGACTTCTACTGTCTAAAACAGTCTTCTATAGCATTTAGATTTGCTGTGATTAACATGTAGAAAGAAGGAAAAATAGGCTGGGAGTGGTGACTCACACCTGTAATCCCAGCACTCCGGGAGGCCAGGGCAGGAGGATCGTGCAAGGTCAAGAGTTCGAGACCAGCCTGAGCAAGAGTAAGAGACCCCGTCTCTACTAAAAATAGAAAGAAATTAGCCAGACAACTAAAAAATATAAAGAAAAAATTAGCTGGGCATGGTGGCGCATGCCTATAGTCCCAGCTACTTGGGAGGCTGAGGCAGGAGCCCAGTAGTTTGAGGTTGCTGTGAGCTAGGCTGATGCCATGGCACTCTAGCCTGGGCAACAGAGCCAGACTCTGCCGCAAAAAATAAAAATAAACTGAAAAATAATTTGAAAAAAAGAAGGAAAAATAAAGATGTATATCTTTAAAGTAAGAAAATGCAGCTGAAAGAAGAAATGTCTATAGTAGTTTCTTCACCTGTTGCTATACCTATTACTACAAAGTCACTGTGCCCCCACACCCTTCCTTCCACTCCCCCATCCCAGCTGCACCTGACCTTGGCTCTGCTCTCTCCTCACCCACCCCTCGGACTACACTAGGCCAACCACCCTGGGCCCCCCTCCTCAAGTGTCAAACGTCCCACATCCTGACTTTCCACCTTTCCCTGGCCTTTCTAAAACTCCTGACCACACCCTCCAAGCAAGAGACTCCACTCCTACTTGACAGAGCAGCCAGGGTTCCTCAGGCCAAAGCCCCAGCCTCACCTTTTCCCTTCCCCCCTTAACCCCACTACCTTTCTGGAGTCTCAGACCAGGACCCAGAATGGAGTCTCCTTGAGCTCACTGTCCTTTGGGAACCTGGCCCCTACCACTCTCTCGCTGGCATGATCATGTTCCCATCTCTTCTGGATCCTTCCCTGCCCTGGAATCTCCATCTCCACTCTCCTGCCACCTCCATGGCAGCAACACCACACTTGCTGGCTACTGGTCCAGGAAGGCCAGACCCCACAGCCCTGGCAAGGGGGCTACACTCGCTGCCCACAGCATCCTTTGCGCCACTCTTCTCCTTTACTCCATCTCAGGCATAAAAGTCACACCTGCACATTACCAAAATATCACATACAGATGCTAAAAGTCATTATCCAGACCTTGCATCAGATGAGAAGATTAGCCCAGGTTTAATGGCTATGTACATAAAAGTCTGGCCTTGGCCTTGTCTGCACCACAGAAACCACTCCAGGGGTCCTGACCTTGCACCTGCTAGTCCCTGTACCCCTCACTCTGTCCCCAGCTCTTCCCTTTGCTACACTGTCTCTTTATACCACACAGCGTCTGTCCCCTCAACAAATGTTTTTGTTTTAGAGATGGGGCCTCACTGTTGTCCAGGCTGGCCTGGGACTCTCGGGCTCAAGTGATCCTCCTGCCTCAGTCTCCAGAGTAACCGGGACTACAAATGCACACCACTGCTGCCTGTCAACTGTCCTTACCCAGACACTCCAGAGATGCCCTGGCCTGGACATCAGTGGCTCTGCCTCCTGGCCATGACCCTTCCTCACACTGTCCACTCCCTCCAGTCCATGGATAGATATTCAGCCAGTCACTGGCTCATTTTTTCATTCGCCCCATCCCTTGAGACCACATGGCCTTAAATCCAGGGGCTGCTGCCAACTCTGCACTACCTCAGTTTCCTCATCTCCACAACAGAGACAGCAATGGCTACCCCATGGGATGGGGCGAACAAGTTTTATAAGCGTGAGCTTGAACACGGGTGCACTTGTTTGTGGGCATGCATGCTGCTTGGATGTCCAGGGTCCTGTTCCACCCAAGCATCCCACCACTGAGCACAGGGGCTGACACGCAGCAGCTGAGGAACCAATGCCATTTCCCCCAGCCCACTGGCTCCTGATGCCCCTCGGCCACACTCACCCAGGTAGTCAGGGACGTGTCCCAGGTGGGGCTTCACCACCGCAGGGTGTAAGGGCAGGTCATGCCGCAGCAGCTGGAGGTCCCTGGGGTTGTCTTCAAAGTATGTCTGACAGGGGAGAGTGAGCACTGCAGTCAGCACTTTTCTTTCATGACTTCACAGGTTGAGTTTTTGGAAAGATGCCAGTCATACATTTTAAAATTTAAAAAGCACGATCAATCACACAGTGAAGTTGTTGTACCGCCTATGTCTCCATCATGCCACCTGCCCAGAGACAGCTAGCTACTGATGCTAGTTTCCTGCATTTCCCTCTGAGTCGCGCGCACTCCTACAAGGACACCATTACACGTTTACATACTTCCTTCTCTGTACCACAGACAGCAGCACCTGCACCCTTTCCACTTGGCATCATCTTACAGAGTGTTCTGTATTGACACATAAACAGCCTCCTCGTTCCTTCCCATATCTGTGTAACCTAAGGCTCTGGACGCACCTTAATTCACCTAGCAAGCCCCTTCTGTTTTCACCTTTTGGTTCCATAATAATGCAGTGATGAATGCCAATACATGTGTGACCATGCACATTCACAAGTATGCCTGGGGTTAAGTTTCAGAAGTAAAATTTCTAAACCGAGGGACACTGACCGTACCTACCCTAAGGCTGTGCCAGTTTACCTCCCAGCCGAGTTTGTCAATGGTTCTGGGCCATTTCCTCCCTCTCTCTAACAAAGGCTGGCATGCTGCCTGCTTCTGTTTCTCACCACTCAGCTCTGCTGGTCTCCAAGGGCAGCCGCCTAAGCTGTGCCCCAGCCTCGCCTTACCTTGAGCTTCTCAGAGTGCAGGAGCTCCTCCTTGATCTCCTTCAATCTCGCCTCCCGAATGGCCTGTTTAGTCACTGAGCGCATGGCATCCTAGGGATGGATGCTGAAGGTCAAGACAGGGAGACTACCCCAAATCCTCCCTCATGCCTGGATGCTCAGCAATGGGGTGCAAATCCTTGGGTCACAGCCCTCTACCCCCAATACTCCCCTCCCCACCGTGGCCAGCTTACCCTGCAGCGATAGCGGAAGCCCTCAATCTCCTCCATCCGGAACTGGTAGGGGAGCAAGATGGGGACCCCATTCTCTGTGGAGAAGGCAGCAGTGGGGTCCCATAGGTTGAGGGCTTAGGACAAGGCCTCATTCTGCCCAGGATTAGACAGCAGGGGACCCACTGCCTCCCTGGGATGTCAAACAGTTTATCCGTAGCAGTGTCTCATGGACAGTGGGAACCCATTGGTCCCCATGAGTGGATGAGGGTAGCCCATGTGGCCCTGTGTTTTGACAGGGGTCACTGGGCATCCCTGAGCCCCAAGACCTGCCACCCACTCTCTCCTCCTCTCCCAAGGCTGCTCTGATCCCAAGAACACCCCAGGATGACAGCCATGAAGAGCAGCTGAGGAGCAGGCAGCACCTGAGACCACGTGCTGTCCTGAGGTGTGTCAGAGCATCATGTTGGGTCACCCAATGCCCATGAGGCAGAAAGTACTTCAGTTTGCTCATTTGTCAAGGTGGACAGGGCCTGCCACACAGGACATGATAAGGATAGACAGCGGAAGCTGTTTGTCACACTACATAGTTACCTCTGCCACCACTATTGTGGGGTTTTTAAGGCATCGTGGGAGAAGCCTGGCCCTGTCCCAAGCTCACAGGAGCTGGGTTCTCACCTCCACTGAGAAGCTCCTCAATCTTGTCTAAGCGGGATTGCTCCGTGGGCAACACGAAGGTCAAGACTATGCCTGGGTTGTTAGCGCGCGCTGTCCTGCAAGTTGAGACACGTCAGGCTGCATCTCTGGCCTGTAGGTTCTGTCCATTACACCCCAAGTTCTCCAGCGTGCCCACAGCCCAGGTGCCTGGCCCATCACTGCTAACCCTCCTACCTGCCGGCTCGATGGATGTAGGCCTCAGGGGTGGGGGGGAGATCAAAGTTGAGTACGGCAGACACATGGTGAAAGTCTATGCCCCGCGCCACACCTGCCTCCGGATCAGGGGCCCTACAGAGATAACCAAATATTAGCCAGACCCTTCCTGCCCTCTGGGCAGGCATTCTCAAGCCTAATCAGCAAAACTTCCTCTAAACAAAGACTAAAAACTACAAGGCCCCGATATATGGAAGACTCTTCAACATCAGAATGGCTCCAGGAGTTAGGGTATCATAGGGCAGCCTGGAGCTTTGACATGGGTAAACCCTTCCCTCAGTTCTAGGGCAACAGAATTCACTGCCCTATGGGGTGACTGAGAACAACTCTGAGTCAGTCGATCCTTCAGGTGATCAGAGACTGAGGGGCTTCCACTTTCCCCTCAGAAATATGCTCCCTGCAAGTCACAGTCACACACCCAATGCAGGCTGGGCCATCTCCCCTGGAGGACAGTACCAACAACTCAGCCGTAATCTTGCCCTTTGTGCTGCACATGAAGTATGCAACCTTCACTCCCCTTCTTTACAGCCAGGCAGCTGAGCAAGGGCCTGTGGGGCTCTCTGGGCCATGCTACCAGCAAGGCCTGGAATGTCTGGCTCTTGCTCTATGCACTTTACTTTCAGTCCTCCAAAAAGCTGAAAAATAGGCCATTTTGAGGAAGGATGAGAAAAGAAGAGAAATGTGGACTCACTTGTCCCCTTTGGGTCCTCGGCCCCGCCGCTTGCCCTTGACAGGAGGCCCCAGGACTTCAGCATCAGTTGCTATGACAGAGTCATAGAAGCCTTGGTTGAACTGTGAAATGATGTGGCACCTGCGGTCCAAGAGTGGAAGGGTCAGCCTTACAGGACTGGAAGCCCCTCTCTCATCCCTAGCATCACAGTAACTATCACCCTTTCCTACTTTTTCCTTCTCTTGATTTCTTTGCCTATTTAACCTTTATGTCTCAACTTTCTCAGCTGAAAATCAAGTAACAGAAGGGATTTCAGAGTTGTAAGGAATAAGTTAGTATCCGTCAAGTTCGGAGCCCAACCCCTACCAAGTGCTTAAGAAACAGGAATATCTACTGCCTCCCTTTTCAATTCCTATCTTCCACATATCTAAACCAAGATGTCAGCTGTGGCAAACCTGGAGCGCAGTGGGAGTTCTCCGTTGAGCACACAGGTGGGGATGCTGAACTGTTCCAAGAACAGCCTTAGACGGTAACTCCGCTCCAGAGTGTTGACAAACAGCAGGGACTTGCCCCGAATCAATGACAGTTTGAGCAGTGCATACAGCAGCAGGAATTTGTCTTCCTCAGTCTCACAGACCACCTGAAACTGCTGTAACTGGTCTGGCCCAGGCAGCTGGGACTCCTGTAACTTGAGAGTAACCTGGAAAGAAAGAGGACAGGCTTGTGGTCAGGAAAACAAGAGAACACAGAGATGCTGTAACCACTTCCTTGCCAACCAAAGCACCATTTTAATGTAGGGCAGAGTTGCATTTAAGGATTCTTGACACCCTAAGTCCCCTCCAGTTTTGTAACCTAAAAACTCTATACGTAAAGCATTTGGGGCACAGAACAAAGAACACCACACCAATAAACTACTACATTGGGTAGAGAAAGCCTATGGCAACAGGCCTTCTGAAAGGTAAAATTTAATTAAAGTAAGAACCTTAGCCTTAAAATTTTGGCTCTGCCACTCAAAGCAGTCCCTTGTTGGGGAGTAGGGGAGTAGGGGAGAGGGGGTTCCTGCTCAGGCTATTAAGGCAAAGCATGGTTTGAACAGGGGGACCACCCCTGAGTTCGCCTGGAAATATGCAGTAATTTTACATCACTGGCTTTTAGTGCCTCAGTACCAGGGATAAGACACCCAGTGACAAATGTCCCACCCCAAACACCAAAGGCTCTTCTGTGGAGTATCAATCCCTTAGAGTATCCCCATATCCACAGCTCTAGTCACTCCCATGGTGCTCCTTACTGGGTTATGTAGTACCAGCTCCTTGAGTGCTTGCACATCCTCGTTAAAAGTAGCTGACATGAGAAAAGCCTGGTAAATCCGGGGCAAGTGACTGAAACAAAACAAAGCCTGATCAGACTCCAGGTCCAAGGCTCTAATTGTGGCAGCTAAACTTCCAACCACCCTCCCCTAGGCCCAATTCTCTACTCACAAACATTTCCACTAGGAATAATCCCACTATTTTTTTTTTTTTTACCAGAGAAGACTTTTGAGTTCTTCCTCAAAGCCAAAAGAAAAAAGAAGATCCGCCTCATCCACCACCAGCAGCTCCAGAGAGTCACGCAGTTTCAAGTTATCTTGTTGCAAATGGCTTAATATGCGGGATGGCGTCCCCACCACCACATCTGGTTTCTCCATCAGCACAGCTCTGCAGGTGGGCAAGACATCAGTATCAGGAAGAATGTAGCAGCTGGGACCTCAACCGTTCTCTCTCTCTTGCTGCACACAAACCCAACCCTACCTCTCTGTGTAGCTTATTTACCTATAGCCCTGTTGCTTTCACCCACCTCTGAGAGGCTGAGTCTTCAGCAGCTGAGACATTGGCCACCCGGACATCTCGAGCACAGTAGGTAGCCAGCTGTTGAATCATGGACTGGGCCTGCCGTGCCAGCTCCTTGGTAGGAACAAGTACAAGGCCTCTCACAGCCTGTTCTACCACAGGACCTATCTGTAAAAACACGAATTAAAGACTTTAGCTAGCAGTGTACATCACTGTGTCCATCAGATGCTTTTCTCTACCTCTTCCAGGCAATCTGACCCACCCACTGCAATACACCTCAGCTGTGTTCTGACCAATCCCTCACTCTGCCTACTTTAGAATGTAGGGTTGGAGAGCTCTTTCTCCAGGCACACACTCTCGAAGAGAACATCTTACTTTATGTATATGAAATTATTTAAAATGTACGAGTCATAGAGCTGAACTCTCACACTATTCTACAAGCAGGAAGAGATGTGCCTTCTTTTCATAGTAAAAAGAAAGGAAAAGGAAATGATTCGTTGACTATTACACAAAGGCTGATGATGGTAGCAGGGACTGGACTAGGATCCAGGTAACCTGAACTCCAGCCCAAAGAGTTTGTCACAACAGCACCAGGTTCTCTCAGACCAGCCTACACAGGTATAATGCCAAGAGAAAACCTGTGCTAGGGAGCACCTCCCTTCTCAGCCTTTTAGAGCCCGTCTCCTTCCTCCCCTCAACCTTCCCACTACCGACCGCCTTTCTGTGTAGCAGGAGCTGCAGCATCGGAATAGCATAAGCGGCTGTCTTCCCGGAGCCCGTGCGGGCCCGAGCCAGGAGGTCCTTCCCCTCCAGGGCCAGCGGAATGGCCTTTTCCTGGATTAGCGTAGGTCGCGACCAGCCCAGGTCAGTGATAGCCTACGAGAGACAAGGAGCGCGGTTCATAAGGTGCAGACGGTGGCAGCGCGTCCCACGGAGCCGGTAAGCTGGCTGTCCATCCCACCCCTGTACCTGCAGGAGCCGGGGGTCCAAGCCCATGTGTTCAAATCCCAACACTTCTGGGTCTGCCATGCTGCTGCTCCGTAGTGACAGCGCGCACGCGCGGCAGGAAGAACAAGTACGGCGGGGGCGGGTCAAAGTAACAGCCAATCAGCTTCGGGGGAGTCGTCCCTTCCCGGAAATGCTGGCGCTTAGCTCCCTAGTGGTTCTGCGGGGTTCTGCGGCTGTGATACGCCCAGGGCCGGGTCTAGGTGTACGTCGCGAGGCTTAGGGTCGAGTTAGAACCTTAGGCAACAGAGCCCTCTACAGTTTCCTCTGGCGTTCCGCGACGCAGCTGACGCGCCTGGTTCTCGGGACCCACTGGAGGACGCTCGGTCGGTGCCCAAAGGGTTGGCAGAACCGTCTCCCCTGGATTAAAGTTAGGAGTCCGGCAGGCCAGGCGAGGCTGGCCATGAAAGAGCAAGTGAAGCGGGGCGCACCAACCTATTGTGGAGCCTCGGAGAGAGGCTGGGCTGAGGGCGTCCGGTTGGAAGAATGAGCAGCACAAAGCTTGCCACCAACTGCCTGAAATAGAAGGATGGTTGGTGTGGGGTTCCCAAACCTGGCTAACCACTTAACAGTTGGTTATAGTTCTATGGGTTCCAAGTCTGATGGGTCTCACAGGGCTAAAATCGAGGTGTAGTTCCAGTGTCAGACTTCTGACCTACAGAACTATTAAGATAATAAATTTGTGTTGTTTTAAGCCACTACATTGTTGTATTTTTTTTTTTTTTTTCCGAGGCAGAGTCTCACTCTGTTGCCTGGGCTAGAGTGCCGTGGCGTCAGCCTAGTTCACAGCAACCTCAAACTCCTGGGCTCAAGCGATCCTTCTGCATCAGCATCCCGTAGCTGCGAAAACAGGCATGTACCACCATGCCCGGCTAATTTTTCTATATATTTTTAGTTGGCCAATTAACTTCTTTCTATTTTTAGTAGAGACGAGGTCTCACTCTTGCTCAGGCTGGTCTCGAACTTCTGAGCTCAAAACCATCCTCTCATCTCAGCCTCCCAGAGTGCTAGGATTACAGGCGTGAGCCACTGCGCCCGACCACATTGTTGTAATTTTTAAAGCAGAAATGGTAAACTGATACAGGTGGGAATTCTTATCACAAGTCTTTAAAAGTGGAAGAGGGGCCAGGCGTGGCGGCTCACGCCTGTAATCCTAACACTCTGGGAGGCTAAGGTGAGAGGATCGCTCAAGGTCAGGAGTTCAAAACCAGCCTGAGCAAAAGCGAGACCCCCCCATCTCTACTAAAAATAGAAATTAATTGGCCAACTAAAAATATATAGAAAAAAATTAGCCGGGCATGGTGGCATATGCCTATAGTCCTAGCCACTTGGGAGGATGAAGCAGGAGGATCACCTGAGCCCAGGAGTTTGAGGTTGCTATGAGCTAGGCTGATGGATGCCACTGCACTCTAGCCCAGGCAACACAGTGAGAGTCTGTCTCAAAAAAAAGTGGAAGAGGGAAGCTGAAGAGGTCTGAGTTGGTGCCAAGTGGTGACTCAACCATGGCTATTGGCATTGACGATGGAGGAAAGGGGACAGACCCTTGTGACTGTTAGTCCCACCCAAATGACCCAAGATAATCTCACTGTCCCCACCCCTGCTTTTTTTTTTTTTTTTTGATACAGGGCCTCACTGTTGCCCAGATTGCCAGGCTGAGTGTAGTGGCATGATTATAGCTCACTACCGCCTCAAACTAGGCTGAAGGGTTCCCCCTGCCTCAGCCACCTGAGTAGCTAGGACTACTTGCCACACCCAGCTGATATTTTACATTTTTTCATAGATACAAGGTTCAGCTGTGTTGACCAGGCTAGTCTCAAACTCCTGGCCTCAAGTGGTTCTCCTGTCTCTGCCTCCCCAAATCCTGGGATAACAGGCATGAGCTATCATGCCTAGCCAATCTCCATATTTTAAAGTCATTTGATTAGCAACCCTAATTCTCCTTTGCCATGCTAGGTAACATATTCACAGGTTTCAGGGATAAGTGTAAGGACATCTTTGGGGAGTCATTATTCTGCCTATCGTACCACCCAAATCCAAACCTACTGAGACTAGACCTGAGTTGCCTAGGTATCTGTTGACAAGCTAATGGGGTGATTCTGTGCACACCTGTCTGAGGTGTGCAGCCCACCATCTGAATGCCAGAGGCTATCTTCTGGCTGTTGAAAACAAAGTCAGGCTGGGACCAAATGATGAAGATAGGCACTGCTGGTCCCACTGAAAATTGGGGAACTGGGCTGGGATAATAGAGGATGTTAAGAATGCATGCCCCCTTTCCTGCAACTTTTTTTTTTTTTTTTTGTGGTAAAGAGTGAGAAGGCTGTTTGGTAAGGATATTGTAGAGTCTAAGAAAGCAGGAACTTCAAAATGGAATCAAGGGTAGTATGAGCACAGAGGAGGAGAATCACCAGAATTCTTTAAATGTAGCCTAACAGCTATTTCTAAAACAAACAAAAAAACTTTTTTAGGCTATAATGTATCTGTGAATGACACTAGTATGGAAATCCTAATTCTCCCCAGAGCCACCAGCTATTAGCCCATCCTCCAGCCATCCCAATCCCACCTGCCTCATCAGTGTAAAAGTATAATGCACACCCACCTTTGTCCTCACTCCATTCTTTTTCCTATCAAAAATAAGAGAAACCTAACAACATAGTTGAGATATGCTCAATTGTTCATACTGCCAGACAAACCTGTAGAAGCCTGGCCGGGCCTTTATCTGTGCCTTCCTGTCCTCTAACTGCCTATGCTCCACTGTCTGCTTTGCTGGCTAGATTTCTATTAACAGTAACAGCCATAGAGCAGAAATGTGTCCCCTCCTGACACGTTATATACTCCCCAAGTGCCTCAGGCCAGAGGTTCACACAGCTAACTAGTTCAAAGGATATCTGATTTTCTCTATGATAATTCTAACAAGAAAATTGGAAATTATCTTAAATATTTGAAGAATTTTGGCATTTCACCTTAGTGGACTATTACAAGGCTACCCAGAATTAGAAATATAAGGAATATGTAGAATTTTTAAAATATAAAAATATTAAAAGAAAAAGCCTATAGAACTAAATTGTATATATTTTTAAGAATAAAAATAAGTACATATATATGGAATAGTATAAGACATAAAGAAAAATAACAATAATTTAGTTCTGTAGGTCAGACAAATTTAATAAATATTTCAAATAAATATAAAACTATGAAATGTCAAGAATGGGCAAGTAATGGTATTAAGTTTTATGCAGGAGAAGGGTGCGAGGGAAGTGTACTAAGATTTGTACAAATTTGTGATACGGAGGGCTAAGAAAATTAAGGTACTTAATTTCTTCTGATGATTCCTTGCTGATGCACTGTCTACTTGGTTGACCTTTGTGAATGGTCCAGCAACCACCTGTCCATTCCCTAGAGACTGGCCTGGTTAGGCCAAGCCTTAGTGCCATGCATTCACACTAAAGTCCGCTCCAGGTCATTAGCAGAGGCAGGCCAGGAACCTTTCCTCTTTCCCTCTGTGCCTCCCCTCAACCTCTTATTTCATCTCAAACACAGCTACTACAACATGTTTTATTTCACTGGAAAATTCTGTATAAAGAACCAAATTTGGTTCTCTTCAAGAAAACATTTATCACAGCTTAAATAAAAGTTAAGGGAAGAGAGAAGAGTACACTGCCCTGTGCTAGCTCTGTTACTACCTTACCTCTGACTCTGAGGCCTGCGGGATGGAAATCACAGATGTCCAAGGGAACTCTGTTTGGCCCTCTGATACAGCCTTGAGAACAGTTATAACATCTGCTTTCTGGCCCAGAGGGCTGAAATCCTGAGAGCTGCCATGGTAGTTACCAAAAATGTGTGAATAAACAGAATGCAGAATTGCATTGGTGTTTTCAACTAGTTAAAGGCAGTAATACTTCAACTAGGAAGGAAAATATATAATTTATCAAAAAATAGTTCTAATATATAGAAAAACATCTCAATCCTCTGGGGCCAAGACCTGCCCCTTATTTACATTCACAAAGCCAATGAGTGAACCCAGGACTGACCAGCAGGCAGTAAGGCAAGGCCTCTTCCACAGGGCATGCTAGTCACCTACTGTGTAAGCAAATGTAGAAAGAGCAGAAGGTAAGGACAGATTTTTCATTTGCTCATTTTGTGATAGGACAGAGGGGAATCACTGGAGACAAAAGAAGCCAGACTTAGTCCTGGGTTAGTTCCGACCCCTCATAAGTCCTAAGAAAGATTTTGAAAGCTTGGACCAATGTCCTGTTTCCTTGAGAACCAGTTAACAAGTGGCTGATCTGAATGGTTTGCTGCCATGGAACCAATGTGACTTATATTCTTTTTCATTTTTTTCCCTCAAAATCCAGGTAGATAAGGGATTGGGTAGGGAAAGTACCAAATAAATGAGGTGAAAAGGAGAGTCATATGGAGAGGGCACTACACCAGCTTCTTGGCCTCAAAGAAGCTCTTGAGGTGACGCATCTGCCAGATGCCAGTGAGGATGAGGATGACAGTCTGAGCAATGGACCACCACAGGACCCTCTGGTTGGTGCTCTCGCTGGTCAGTCGGAAGCGTTCTTCACGATACTGCGTGGGGCAACACAGGGTTAAATAAACAGGAGAAACAGTCCTAGGTTGTTGTAAAGACCCTCCCTGTATGTAACTACTCAACTCCAGGACCAAACACCTTTTGGAATACTGCCTGTGATTCCATTAGGGGTGCTATGGTTTCCCAACTGAGATGGCCCCAAAGGAGGGACGGTGGTGCTGTCCTCCTACAAGCATCTCTGTTAGGACTGAAATCATGGTCCTACCATTTCCAACAAGATCCCAAGAAAAACATGTGGGCAATGGCTATTACTAGATTGTGAAATGCCCTCTCTTTATTTTATAGAGCTTTAAAATGACTATCTAAAGCAAAAATCTAAAGCAGAATATCCTTAAAAAGGATATTCTGATACATACTATAGTATGGATGAACCTTGAGGACATTATACTGAATAGAATAAGCCAGGCACAAAAGGGCAAATACTATATGATTCCACTTATTGAGGTAGTTAGAGCAGTCAGGATCATAAAGACAAAAAGTAGAATGGTGTGTGTCAGGGGCTGGAAAAGAGGGAATGGGGAGTTATTGTTTAATAAGTATAGATTTTCTAGGTTTTAAATGAATGGAGCAGTTCTTTATAATAACAATTGTATAGTAAGGATAAAACACTAACTTAACGTGTATTCATTTTAAGTTGTTATGTATTTTTAAATTGCCAAGAAAAATAAACAACTTTGTACATTTAAAAAAAAATAAGTATAGATTTTCATTTTGGGAAGGTTGGGTATGGATGCTGGTGATGGTGGCACGACATCATGAATGTATGTAATACCAATGAACTATACACTTAGAAACAGTTGAAATAGCAGGTTTTATGTTATGTGTATTTTACCACAATAAAAAATCTGAAAGAACCCTATATTGAGACCCTCCATTCTACTTTCTGAAGAGCTGATCTCCCAACCAGGGAAGGCCCCAAGCAGAAAATTGATGAGTAGGTATAGTGGATATACTGGACCCAAGGTCAACTGCCCTTTCCAAGTACAATGAGATATGCCCTTACCCTTTGGTAATCTTGCTCCTTCTGAATCTGTTCCACTTGATCAAGCAACTGTCGGGCACGGAGTTGCAGCTCAGTAAGCTTATCCTTAGCA